TGCCACCCCTGCCTCTTTAAACAACTGCTATTTTTCTAAAGGATCTGTTCATTTCCCAATGTATCACACCTCCAGATTGTTGCCAGAGAGTGTTAATCAGCACTTTTACTTTTACTCATTAATAACCTCAACAGGGAATGAGAAGCAAAGCAGCAGTCTTTTGATATTTTCCTCAGATGCAAAACAGAAAAGGAAGGGCACTCCCAGACAAGCAAAAGGAATCTATAATAAAATTATAGAAGGCTTCTTTAAGAGAGCACTGAGGCTATTCATTTTATTCATTGGCAAAAGCCCATCATATTTTATTGCTGCAAGATAGCACAACTTTTACCAAAGTTGGAGCTATGACTACAATGCCAAGTATTTCCAAACAGCATAATTTACATGAGGCATACAATGATTTGCAGTGATATGAAGAGTTTCATAGATGGTATCCAAAATGAGACAGGAGCTTAAAAAGACAAGTACTTACAAGTTGTTCCAATCCATCTTTCCACAATATGTAATAATGGATTCAAAGAAGGCAACCTCATCCCATGATTTTTTTTTCTCTTTCCCATCTATATCCAACAATGGGAAAACACAGCCCAAAGTAGAGAAAAAGCTGTCAATTTTGATAGAAGCCCACATTCTCAATAACATTTAATTTCTGCCCATACACTTCTAAACGTGATATATTCCATAAAGCCAGTATTCCATAGTCCCCCCTCACAGGAACTGTAAAGAATGCCCAAGCATCATTTAAACCCATTAATCTATGCAAGAAGCAACATTAATATATAAAATGCTTCAGTATTTGATAGTATATTGCAGGATTTCTATACTTGCTGTGGTGGAGACGTACTTGATGAGTCCCATCCTTGGATTCTATGAATATATTTTCTATTCTACTCTATCCTTGCTACAAATAAAGAAAGGAACACGGTTTAGTCACATAGAGCAGTGGTCGCCAACCAGTGGGCCAGGGACCACTGGTGGTCCACGAGAAAATTTTGGTGGTCCGCAGAGAATTGTCACCCCCAAAGCACCCCCCAAGCAATTAATCCAGGCTGCACAGGAACACAAGGCTGTGCCGCCAAGATGGCTCACAGGAACACAAGGCTGCGTCACTTGCATTGCAAACAACACGAGGTAGTGAGGGGAGGAGGGAAATGGAAAAGGGGGAAGGGGGGAACTTGCCCCATTCGCCACGCATGCCACGCCTGACCACTGGGCTGCTTCTTTCCACTTCTTTCTTTTGCTTTTGCCTGCACACAAGGAAAGCAGCAAAAGTCTTTCTTACTTTCCCCCAAACTCCATCAGAAATGAATCCTTGGGACCCTGCAAGGCCTCCTACTCGAGAGGCTGCGCTGGCAAAGACTCATTTTTGGCAGAATTTGAGAGAGAAAGAAAGACTTCTGCTGCTTCTGCTGCTTTCCTTGCATGAAGCCAAAAGTCTCTCTCTCTCTCTCCCCTGAGAACGGAGACAATAAATATCCTGCGATCCCAAATAAAGAATGATCGATTGGTAGGAAACGGGGTGGGGAATTTTCCTGCAGACTTTTGGGGGATTTTCTCAGGGTCTCTGGTCCGCGGGATTTAAAATTACGAGTTTGGTGGTCCCTGAAGTCCAAAAGGTTGGCGACCCCTGGCATAGAGTACATGCATTTTTAACATTCACTATTCTGGAAGCAATTTTACAAGAAACAGTTTTCAGAGACAATCTATCTTTCCATCAGATATACCAGAGAAGCAGACAGATGGAGGGGAATACTGCCCACAATCATTCTTTTCAGCCATGTAAATCTCTCTCTATGTGCAACGCTGAATAATCATTCAAATCTAAGACATTTTAGCAGGTACAGTTCACACATTCAGTTGCCAGCCATGCAATGTTGAGAAACTAAGTGAAACTATATCAAGCTACGAATGTGCATGTGAGAATTAACTTTTACTTTTTCCCATAAAGGAAAAAGAAGAGATGGAACTTTCAAGAAAAAAAATTGAAGTATAACAAGTGACACAACTTAGAAAGAAACCATAAAGCTAGGAAGACACAGCAAATTAAACTATTAAAGATACCTGGCATAATACAGAGCTCCAAGGCAAAGTAAGTGGAAGGCAGAAAAAACAACAGCTTTGATAATACTAATTGCTAACTACCCAGTCAAGGAGAAGATACATTTTCCCAAAGAAAACTGCACATCTATCAGAGATATAATAAATAGTAAAAGGGAATTTTAATTAAAATTCTTTTAGGAGCTATTTATGTGGTCTGTCCAGGGAATCCCTGGCCTCTTTCCTACAGAAGATGGAGGAAGGCACGTAAGCAGTAGCTTTGATCCTAAGCAACAGGGTAGAAAATAGTCAATAAACAGCACAGCAGTACTGGGAACTCTAAGAGAAAGTGAAGCACTTCTACCATATCTCCTGCCTCTGAGAAATCTCTGCGATGGATGAAGCACCAGATGACTAGAAGTGGGCAATACTTGTTTCTATCAAAAATAAATTAAAAAAAATAAAAAACAAAAACAGGAAGTGGGGAACAGAACCCAGAGTATTATCGACTAGTCAATCCATACTAAACTTGCAGATGGGAGAAACATCGAGGAGTAGGGAGAGATGTAGGGGAGGAACCTTAATTTCCTAGAAAACGGATGCTAATTTTAAATTAAGATTTGATGGGGCAGAAAAGGAGCAGGACCACTGTAACATGGTGCCTCCAACTCTTGCAAGTAGTTTTGCATACACAAACATGGTGAAAGGCATTAAATGCTTCTGATAAGTTCAACATGATAGTGCAGGAGAAGATAAATACAGTTTATGAAGTTAGGGTAAATAAGCCATGGTACACAGACAAGACACAAGTTGTATCCAATTTGCAGCATGCCTAGCACTATTATTTTCGAATAGTGGCAAAATAGCACCAGAACTTGCACCCATTTCTAAGTGATGTAAGAGTGGGAAATTGAGCAGTTTGCCTCTAGGGGCGTTCTCTTCCTGACCCCATCATAAAAGAAAAAAGAAAAAGAGCTAAAAGAAATGGTCAATATCATAGCATCACTAGATAATTTGCGGCTGTCTTTCAGAAAGTCAAGTTCACCTACGTGCCCCCAAATATTTAAACTTTACCTGCTCCAGGGTTAAGGCAATGAAATTGTGAAGTTAATCAGAGAAGAATGTCATAAAATTTGAGTTGACATTGATGTAACTTTCAATAAAAGCTATCAATAAAATAAAAGCTATACTGAAAGCTAACAAGATTACAAGCAATCTTTTAACTTTGAATGATAAATTAACAATAGTAAATTTAATACAATTACATTTACATACATATCATAATATTAAATGAAGCTCTTCCAAAGTTCTTAGGAAGCTGCCCAATTCTATCTGAACCAAGTTATCAAGCTATTCATCCATCATCTCCAGGAACTTACATAGTCAATCTATTGAGCAATTCATCTCTTCCTCTTTCCCTTTCTGACAGTGGAAAGAAAGATGCAGTACACAAAAAGATTCAATACACAAGCAGATTCAAACAGATAGTGAGAATGAATGAAAACAATCCATAGATATTCCTGTTTCTGATTTTAACGGGGTAAGGCAATGACATCTAAAAAACTCCCTTAATGCAATCAAAGAATCTGTATTTTGCCCATATGTGGACTGTACTGAAAATTATAATTTTGGAATGTTCCTTTATATTTGGGGGATGATGGTTCAAATAAAAATAGTTCAGTGAGTAAAAAATTAGCAACTCGAGTGGCCTAGTTTTGTATCTGGAGTGAATTCTGTACATAATGAGGAAATGGACCCTCTCCCCAGAAGGCAGCTCCTGCAATCAGAAATATAAGTCTTCAAAATACCTTTATTTTGCTTTTTAATCAGAAAATTATTTATTTTGGATCCTTTTTGTTATGGGCCAAAACATTTACAAATAACTGGAGCATATTGTGTTAAATAATCATTGAAACCTACATCTGTACAAAATCTTTAAAATCATCCATAGTGCCTCTGTAGCCTGGCATACCACCTGTCCTGCTAGTTCAAACTACATTTGCATTCTAGAGGAAACTATTCAAATGTCACTCCACCATCACAAATACGTTCAAAAAGCTAAATGCCAGCAAACCAATTTTTGCTTTGTAAACATTCCCAGAAAAAGAAGTAATTAAGCTTACAAGTAGAGAAATATCCCAAATAACAGCCAAACAAGACTGCCTTTTTTTTCTCAAAGAAATCTGTGCACCCATCTCAAGATAGGAACACTATATTAGACTAAGGATCACAGAAACTATACCTGTTCTCTGTACTCTTTTTTTTTTTAGTGTCAGTTTCCTCTCTAGAAGGTCGATAGCAATCCATCCATTTGTCAAGAGCAAAAATAAAGCACATTACTAAGAAAACTGCCAAATGAGGACATCAAGATACCTCCCGACGTTTTAATCTGGGCAAAGACAACACTTGGAGTAGCATAGTCTCCCTTCCTCAAAGTTATTAAGATTATCGATCAGTATCAATATGTCTCAATTAGGCATCTGAAACAAATCAAGCATAAAGGAAATAGAACCTAATTAAGAGATGCAAACACCACCTACTCTCTTTGTTCAAAGTCTTCTCCTTGGGAGAGAAGTGGGGGACACTTACCTTCATTTCACTCTTATCTCTGCCTTTTAAGGTAAGCCTACATGCTCTCAGACTCTGCACACCACTTTATTTCAATGCCTTCCCGTGCAGGTAAGATGATTTTGCACAAAGCCCATGAGATGCAAGTAGTATGCAGCCTATTACAACAACACATCCTTCAATCTCATCTGCATTTTTCAGAGGGAACAAAGACAAAAACAATTCCTGCTTACCAGGACAAAATAAAAAAATGGCTTTCATTGTGAACGTGCCACATACCAAAAGACGAGTTCACAATACAACTTTTATGATAATTAGTGCCCATCATTTAAAAAATCTCAGTCACTGCCCCTATCAACATAATAAATAAATAAAAATAATTAAGGAAGACCCACCATTCATCCCATTGTAGAGACCCCTATGATGGGGTGACTGATCATCTGCAACTTGTCTCCTTAAAGTACCTTCTCTGCTACCATTGCCCAAATGTTTGAGGTGCTCAGGACTTCCCCCATAATGCTGCTTGAGATGCTCAGGACTTGTGCCTCTCACTTTTGGAAGGTGTTCTGAGCTTCCGCTCAGAGCATGCTTTTGAAGAAGTTCAGGGCTTCCACTGCTGCTGTGCTTTTGGTGTTCTGGACTGTTCCCAGGCCTATGCTTTTGAAAGAGTTCTGGGCTCCCACTCAACATGTGCTTTGGCAGTGTTTCTGGACTGCTACAACTGTGCTTCTGCTGCTCTGAAGTACCTTTGGTTAAGGTTTTATGATGCTCTGGACTTGGTCCTTTAAGATGCTTCTGGTGGTCAGGACTTCCAGAACTTCGAGGTTTGTGAAGGTGGTCAGGGCTAGCACTCTGGTGCTTTTGATGCTCAGGACTTCCCTCACTCCTTGTTTTCTGAAGGTGCTCAGGACTTGAGCTTGAATGGTGCTTATGGTGATCAGGACTATCAGTGCTCCCAGTACTGGAGGTACTACTCCCATCTCCAACATCCCTTATAAATGTACTTGTGGCATTTAATTGGCAAAGACTGGCTTGACTATCAATTGAATTTCGGCAGCCAGCAACACCACCCTTTTCTTCATCCAACAAGACACAAAGCTCCTTCAGTTCCAAATTTTCCTTCACCACTTCTTCCTGCCTTACTTCCAGTTCCTTCAGCTTTTGCAAATATAAGGCAACCTCTTTATGCATCATGCTGGCACTATACCTCCCAAGCCTTTGCCATTCACGGGATACTTTTTTGCCTTTCTGCCGGTCATCATCCAAGAAGCAACAAAGGTCTCGCAGCTCCTGGTTGTCTTCCTGCAATTTCTGATTAATGTCCTTCAAAACACAAGAGAAGAAAAAACAAATCTAATCAACATTTGCATAAGGTAACACTGTAACAGCAGAAACTTCAAAGGACATCATAAATGTAGTTAGCAATGCTGTATTTATTCAAGGCCTTTGCAAGATTGCTGAATATTTAGATTCTCAGGCACTATGTCCATTCTTTTTGGAAGTCTTCTTTTCTCTCATGAATTATTTTACTTTCTTTCTAAACCATTATTTCTTGTCTTTCCTAATTTTAGTACAAAGGCAGGGAAGTTATGGTCCTCCAGCCACTACTGTGAAGTACAACTCCCAGCAGTGAAACCAGCATGAACGAACCTGGGATCTATAATGGCATTTGGAGAGCGACTTGTTATTTTATAAATACTAATATTACATATAATAAGAAACACAAGAAACTCTGAACAATGTACAAAAAAAGTAAAACAATCAATCAGCCAAGCAATTATCAATTTCTCTAGCACTCATTTCAATCCAATTGACTCTGGCATTTAAGCATCTAAAATCATTACTGTTAACAAGCATTAAAATATTTTAAGACTATAAAAATAGCTAAAACAAGAATGATAGACAAAGGATGTTAATAGTAATACAGCCACCTCATTAGGTTCACCCATCCCCTGAGGTTCCCAAGCCTTGCTATAACCAAGTCTTAAAGGACCTGCAAAGGTTTAGCAGTGCCATCCTCACCTGGGAAAAGTAGATTCCACTGTACAGGGGCCACAGTAGAAATGCCTGCCACCTAGGACCCACAAAATGCAGCACGCTAGATGACAAAACCTATAACATGCCTATTCTGTTGGATCAGATGGGACAGGTGAATGAAATCAGGGAAAGGCAGTCCCGCAAATAACCCTGTGCCATGCCATGTAGGGTTTTAAAGGTCAACACCAGTACCTTGAATTGGACCTGGAAACAAGCTGGTAACCAGTGCAGCAAAAATTAGCTAATAGACTGCAAGTTCTATCTTTTTTAAATATATATATATATATAACATTTTTCCCTATAGGCTTATACTGTATATTAGCAACAAATGTTTTAATGTATGAGCAACTGTGTGTGAGAGAGAGAGATTCCAAATTTTCTAAAAGGGAAAATTCTAAAACGTGCTATAAAAATAATTTCCTCCCAAGGAAAACGTGTGGATTTTTTTTTTTTTGCAGAAATTATATATATTATAATTACATTTAGATGAATATGCTCATTTTCTCATTCTATTGTGTTCCAGAATCAAAGAAATAAAAACTTAAGTGTAGGATATGCAGACAGCATAATATTATACAGTATAAACTAGAGAGAGCCATACTGTTGGTGATTAAGGCACCAGGCTAGAAATTGGGAAACTATGAGTTCTGAATTAGACACAAAGCCAACTGGGTGAGTTTGAACCAGAGCTTTCTGTCTAACTATAGGAAAAAGACTATAGCAAGCCATTTTTGAAATATTCCTGAGAAAACTGCAGGGAATTTTCCAGATAATCAATATTGACTCAAAGGCACCCCCCATCCACCCCCAAAACACCACATTTAAACTGAAAATATGTTTTCTTACAGTGGAAGAACAAATTTCTATGTGAGGATAAATCTGTAATATAAGCTTACTATTTAGTTTCTCACCAAAAGTGATCTTTATCCCAATGATGTCCACAACATAGTGGAAGAGATACTCTACTAAATCAGGAGTGTCAAACTCAATTTCATTGAGGGCCATATCAGAGTTATGTTCGACCTTGCGGGGCTAGGGTGGAATGGTCAGGGTAGACATGACCGTCACTCGTGTTGGGGAGTGGAGGCCCAAGCATTTTGCCAGCAAAAACAGGCCCCCAAGCTTCATTTTCAGCTGCAACGGCCTCCTGTAACCCTCTGCCAGTGAAAACAGAGCTCAGGAGGGGCACACGCAGCCCTCCCGAGCTCCGTTTTCACTGGCAGAGGCACTATGGGCCTGTCCTTCGCTGTTTCCAGGGTGGCCCCACAGACCAGATCCGGTCCCCAAGTCTTGAGTTTGATAACCCTGTACTAAATCTACCTATTCCTTCCATGTATTTCACAAAACTCTTTAAAAGCGTATGTGTGGAGGGGGGAAGAGGCAGGGCAGGGAGGGGGAAGGGAGGGAGAGGGGGAGGGAGGGAGAGAGAGAGAAAGAGAATAGAACATGTAGCAGCAGACTGATCTCAGGATAAAAATCTAGAGGTCTCAAAGTTCTACTTGAAGTTCTCTGGATTTACACACCCTAGTTCTGTCTTAGTTTATCTTTTGGGTAGTAATTGCTACTATCATTTAATTTCCAGAGAGCCCTTCATCTTGTGTCTTCCTTAACTCCAACATTTAAGACAGAGAGGGCCCCATAGCAAACAGGCAGCATTAAAACAAACAGAACTTTTTTTATTTATAGGAAAAAAAATTCCAATGGAAAATATACAGCAAAAGATAACCTTCTGACAGACCCAGTGGTGATATTCAGCCAGTTCTCATCGGATTGGGTGAACCAGTAGCAAGAATTTGGCATGGGTTGCAGAAATGGTAGTAACTTCTGGCTGGCCATGCCCCTGACCTGGTCACCCTCCTCCCACCTGACGTTTGCCTAAGGTATTTCTTTCTTTTTTCCCCTCCCAACAATCAGCTGTACATAGATCAGCTGTGCCGGGATTCCCCTTGTTGAGGCCCAGGAAGGCAAAAATGGCTCAGCACTGCCCATTTTTTGCCTTCCTGAGCTTCAGAGGAGTCTTAGGGGAACAAAAATGCCCCTCCCAGAGGCTCTTCTGAGGCCAGGAAGCTCCCAAAACGGAGCGGGGTGCAGTGCTGCGTGCCCCTCCCATGATCTGTTTTTATTTCTTCCTGAGTCTCAGAGGAGCTTTAGGAGAACAAAAACACCCCCCTAGAGGCTCCTCTGAGGCTCAGAAGGGCCAAAAAAAATGGGTGGGGGCTGCAAAAAAGCAAAAAAAAGGCACACCCACCCAGTCACATGGCCACACCCACCAAGCCATGCCCACAGAACCGGTAGTAAAAAAATTTAAATCCCACCACTGGACAGATCTGATGTCAGATGCGGGCCACTTTCCAGTTTACCGGTCATTCTGATGTGCACATAAAAATACTATCAGTGATCCTTTTACAGAATAGTTGCCAGAATCAATGCAGCATTAGGTATTACATACAGAAGAAAAAAGAAACTTGGTACTTAACTACTTAACTTTTTCCTATTCCTCTGGAGAACTCTTGAACAGATGTTATCTCAGTGCAATTTGTTGGAAAATCCTTCTTTCTGTGAAGTCCAACTTTAACCAGAATTTAGAGAAGAATCTTAGTTCTCTTTTTCTCCCCAAAGCTTTGGTACATATTTTCCTCTTTTTTCTGACTGCCCTTTCCAAAAGAACAAAAAAAGAGGGACTGGGGAAATCTCATTTTGCTACACACCAAAGTTAGCATCTCTCCCTCAAGAAAATGTTGGGTCAAACCTTTGAGGCAGCAACTTGCTGTCTGGCACTAGAGACTGGCAGGAAGACTGCAAGGAGGAGGAACTGTAGATTACCCATTCAGTACTGCATTTAAAACTAGAAACCATAAGGCTGGGATATCTGCTTAGAATGGCGTTTACTTTGCCAGATGGTAACAGAGATGAGATTCTACAAGTAGTCCACATTTTACAACCATTTATTTAGCAAGTTACAATGGTAAAGTGACTTACAACTGATCCTTGCACTTTGCAGACTGCAGCATTCCTGCAGTCATGCAATCAAAACCTGGGCATTTGACAACCAGCATGCCTCTTATGATGATTGCAGTATCCCAGGGTTATGTAACTATCATCTGCAACCTTCCCACATAGCTTGTTACAAGTAAAGTCAATGAAGGAAGCCAGATTCACTTAATGACTATGTAATTAACAACCATGGTGAGTCGTTTAACAACCATGGCAAAAAAGTATAAAATTGGTCACAATTTATTTAATGACCACCTCACTTGGCAAGAGAAGATTTAGTCTGAACTGTGGCTGTAGGTAGATGACTACTGTACGAGACAATTCTTGGATGTAGTTTCAGAGAGACCTCTAAATTTAAATTTTAATATTACAGAGGAAAATGTTATGTTTACAGAACAATCATTTTAACTATATTATATGAAGACTATTTAACTATATGAAGGAGCAAATCCAAGGGATAAAAGTAACTATCAGAAATAAGAGGCAGAGATCATATTGAGAAATTGGTTGCAAGCCCTCAAACATGAAGTAGGCTTAAGCCAATAGTGACTAAACTTTTTGAGCTCCTGTGCCAAAAATTGTGCATGCATTAGCACGCGCGCACTCATGTGCCAGCACCCAGAATGCAATGCCCGCCCCCCATGCCCCCTGCACATGCACACGCAATCCCGACCCCCACCCCCCTGACCTGCACTGTGCCTCACAGCTGATTTTTCAGCTGGTTTGAGGCCTTTTTTGGCCTCCCAGAGGCTTGGAAAAAGCCTCTGCAAGGTTTTTCAGGCCAAATAATATGCCCCTTTCATCACTTCCAGTATTACAGGAAGTGACAAAACGGGCCTATCACAGCTCTAAGAACTTGAGGGAAGAAAAGGGGACTTTGATGAACAGGTGGTAGGACAATGAAAGGAGAGGGCAGGTAGCTGCATCTTTCAAGGAGATAAACAGAGGAGTCATGGGCTGAAATGCATATGGAATGTAAACAACATTTTTGGCAAAACCATAACAGAGTTGACCAGGATAGATTTACCTTGAATCTATAGGTAGGGTAAAGAAAAATAAATAGAGACTTCAGATAAAGACATGAGCACTGATTAGAGTGGGCTGTAATGAGTCCTATTAAAACACTCAATAAAAATCAGAAAGCACACTGGTTCATAAAGTTTATGGCCTCTATTATCTATATGCTATAGTCCAGTATGTGAAATTTTTAAAGATGAGGTTGAATTTCTTGTAGAGGAAGACTAAAATATTTAATGGGTATAGTAACAGAGGCCTGGTGAGATGACTTCAAT